TCATCATCATCATCATCATCATCATCATCATCATCATCATCATCATCATCATAATAATAATACAAATAGTGTGCCATTTGATTTGTGGCAACCTATTTGATTATGGCTACCCTTTCCAGAGTTTTCTTTTAAGGTACAGATCACTCAGGAATGGTTTACCATTCCCTTCTTCTAGGGGCAGCCTAGAATTGTGCAGCTTGCCCAAGACCACACAGGCTGGCTCTTCTGGGAGGCCCAGTGGGGAACTGAACTCCCAGCCTCTGGTTCTGCAGCCAGATACCACTGAATGTGACCTCAATAAGGCTTTCAAAGTAAGTGTGATATTTAAGGAGTAGTTTTACCACTTGGGGTGCCCTCCCCCAAGTGATTTTGCATGGCTGAGTGTGAAGTGGAACTGAAATCTCCTGAGTCCTCATCCATCACTCTGTCCATTACATCACTTTGGGTATCTTAACATTTCCAGCATGCCTTCCAATCTCATTTCTCTGGAGGGAAAGTTCTATTAATGTCAGAGGTACTATTTGCCCTGCAGGCTAACAGTAGATTGAGGGAAGTGGAGGATTTTCCCCCCCTGAGAGCCACACTCTTTCCATGCCTGCTTTTATGTTTTTTAACACATGCCAAATACATAAATGCATTTAAAGTAGATTTTCCAACCCAGAGTCCTCTAGATGTGTTTGACTTCATATTCTGTCATTCACAGCCAGCATGACTAGCCATGCTGTATGGGGAGGATGGGGGTTCTAATCCAGCACTTCTAGAAGGAATGAGGCTGAAAAAGGCTGCTCTCAACATGTAGATAAAATGCTATGATTTCTCACATCTACAGTTCAGCTCCCTGCAGCTGTGGACAACAATAATAAAGAGGGTTACTTGGCAGGAACAAATAAATGGCACAATAGCCACATTTTGTAAATTATACATATATTTAAATCTACTCTGTCTTGAGCAGGCAGGTGAAAGGACTTAAAATACAGGATTCCTTTATGCACATCAGAGGAATAAAAATAAAGAAATCTGCAGCTGCTATGGTAATTAAACTGGGCTCATTAGTATTTTATTTCTATGAACCACAGAATGACTCAAAAAGTGCTTATCAGAATCTGAAAAGCGCTTCATGGAATAGCTGAAGAAATCATTTATGATTGATCCTCGCTTGAGTGGCAGAGGATTTAGAAGTCAGGGGGGAAATAAGAAAATGGGAGAGTTGTGTAATCAGTGTCCGGCTTGAGAGAGGGATAAAGCACAGTCCCCCAGGTTGGTGAATTTCAAAATAATCTTCTGTTCCAGACACTGCCAGGACAAAGGGAGTGCTTTTCAGCATTTGCACATGCACACACAGATACAACTCATGCTAGGATTTAGGGACCATTAAATAATTAAAGAGTACACCCCGGAATTCTGAGACGTTCTCGTTCATCTGTACTAAGCAATATGTTTTGCTTAAGAGATGCACATTTGTTTCAGGTGTTTCTTTCTTTCTTTCTTTCTTCCTTCATGCCTTTGAATCAAAACTGAAGTACTGGGGCAGGGAGGTTTAAAAAGAAAACCTCTTGGCTTGTAAATACTATAGATTCAACAGCTATTATTGGTCTCACATATTCTAAATGTGGAATCCTATATGTTCTACTCTTAGGACTAGATATGGGCCATGAAGCAAAAAAAAAACAAAAACACCTCATGAACTGGAATGCTTTGTGGTTTGTTTTGGGGGCACTTCAGGGAAAGGCGCCTGCCCAGAATGAAACTAAACATCGAACTATTATCAGTGTTGGTTACTTCTATGCTTTGTAGTTCATGTGATTCAGAACTTCCAAGAGAAGTATAATAGTCCCTGCACATGTTAGAGATGCCAAACTCACAGTACATCTTCACTTGACTGTCCTCCCCACCCCTGCCAAGGTTGGTGAAAATTAGATATGGGATGTCCAGGTTACAGCACCCCAGAGCTGGTTTCCTCAGGAAAGTGCCATTCCTGGAAGTCCCAGATCACACAAACCATGAAATTGTTCGTTTTGTTGGAAAGTTCATGAAAGTTCATTATTTGTGAATACAGTAGTGACAAACCGTAAACCATCACAAACCAACATTTTCTCAGTTTGTACTCATCTCTACAAAGAAATGAAAATGGCTAAGGCTCATCAAGCACAAAATGGTAGTGCAGTTGTGAAGCAAAGACATAAAATGGAGGCAAATTGATCCAAAGCTTGATATGCAGTCACTGATACCATTTTATATTGAGGCTTAAGATCTCTGCTAAATAAAAAATATGGTAACATCAAAAAATGCATCCTTAGACATCAACACTGTAGCCCTAAGCATGTATCACAGCCTGCATCTGGGTATGGCTTGAGAAGTGTGATAATGATGTGAGGATGCAGATAAGTCCTGTTCCCGATGTTGCCATC